GTCACAATTCTTGTCCTAATAAGTAATTAAAATAATTATGACTTGTATTTATTTTGTTTTGTGAGGATAATTCTGAAAAAAGTCATTTTTGAATTTGATTACGTGGATGATATAGGATAGGATAGGGTAGGATTGGTCTTCTCATTGCTCTATCGTAAGTCATCATTTCTCAATTTTATATCCAGAATCTTTTAATCTATTCAATGTCATCCCATGTCAATTTTAAGGACAGTAGCACTGTATATCGAGTCTTAAAATGAATATTGCTATATTGATAGCGAAGTCGTTAAATCAGCAATGTAACAAGAACGATACAGTTATAAATCCCTGTGTTTAAAATAGGGTCTTCTGTTGGGACTTGTATACATCATTGAAAATCATTTTCCTCATAACGGTGTAGCAGACATACTGTTAACAGCCAATGTTTTGTCTACCAATCTTGGAAAATTCATGTCCCCCTTGGTTCAGGCCTCGGAGTGGGGCGGAATAAGTGATGTTGAAAATTGTCAATGTGCCTTTGTAAAGTTTCATTTTTTAAGCCTTGCCATGAATACTAGTATAGCAGGGGCATGTAGTATTTGTCATGTCCATCTTCAGTCTTTTTGTCGTTCCATCGTTCTGTCTTTCCATCTGCAAGTCCGTCACACAAAGTGTTTTTCTCAGATTAAATTGTGTTTTTCCCCAAAATTCATACACCGATACATACTGACGAAGGCTATTCAACTTTGGCATAATTCTGACCGTCAGCTTATTTTGTGCTTAGCTCAGTTTTAAGAAGCTATTCAAGATAATCTTATCAAAACTCATACACATTTTTTCATGTTGCATTTATCTTACAAAAAGAAGCCGTACAAGATTATTTTGAACAAACTCGAAAAAAAAATACAAATTCATTAGAAGAAAAGATACAGTGTCTGACGTTTTTCATACTTCTTGTTAGGCCATTATTTACAAAATGAAATTTCCACGGATATTTTCCGTATGCCCAATTGAACAATGAACAATGAACATGCACACGGCGGGTGTGACCGGTCGACAGGGGATGCTTACTCTTCCATTACACCTGACCCCACCTCTGAGCGATATTTTTTAGAGGTCCATGTTTGCGTTGCTCCCGATTTGTATTGTTTCAATGGACTTTTGAGCTTGACTGCTGTTTGTTATTTTTATATTTCATTACATAAATTCACCATAAAAACCAAGTCTTAATCATGTAAACGTCTTGACATATGTGTTCTAGACCGACTATTAGCAAAACAATGACCATTCTTGCTCTTTCAATAATTATAACATTAAATATAAAAATAAGAACAGTAACCATGGTCGAAGTCTAATCAAACAATGTTTTATCCTAGCAAAGACTTCTGTAAACAAAGGCGAGATAAGGTGCCGCGGAGGAGTGTTCATCCTCTGTCGACCTGTCATACCAGCTGTGTGCTCTTTGTCATTTGGGTAAAGGGAAAATCTGTAGACAATTCAGTGTGAAAATAATGTCTAATCAATTCATATGAAGGACTTCAGTCAACATTTGACGATAGACTGTAAATGCAAACTTAGTCATTGTCCTGTCGAAATCATTTGCGAATGTTGACTATAAACGGGATTCTTGATATCCTTGTATTATCAACTTTTCAATAGCTTTCCTCTATTTAGAACTTTATCGTACTTGGAACATGCTATTGCTAATCGATTCAAATGAGACATAAGGCTCAAAGAGATGATGCTATGGCCGTTTGTGCGGTGTGCGTAAACTTTTTAGAATATGGGCCATATCTCAAGAACCTCTTGGCAAATTTTTTTCAAATTTGTCACAACGTATCTTGGACCAAGGACTCTCGTTTACACTAAAACAAGGGGTGTGACCCTTAAACAAGGGGAGATAAATATGAAAAGCATAAGTACTGGTTGCTAAAAAATCTTCTTCTCAAGAACTACTGGGCAGATTATCACCAAACTTACATACAAGGGTGAGGACATGTTGTAGATTACAATTTGTGCAAGGCATTACCCTGGGGCAAAGGGTGTGGTCCCAAGGTAACTACGAAGTTGACCAAAAATTACATTTTTGTTAAATCTTTGATATTTTGCTTACTATAGGGAAGAAGATCATCAAATCTTGTCAGTTGATGCATCTTAGGAACTCATATCATGTTCGATTTCAGGAAAGCAACAGCACTTTTCAAGTTAAGGAATATTTCCTTTATGTATATCCAAGAATATTTCCTTTATGTATATCTAAGAAATATTCAAGATCTTCAAGTGTATGCCCTTGCGAAAAGACGATCTAATGAGGCACAACGATATCGATTTTAAAAATGCCAACCCTGTACCTAAAAACACGATAGAATTAATTAAATACATTCTCTCGATAACTATTGAATAATCTCACTAAACAAAAGTTTCACTTTGGTATACATGGTTAATCTTACATTTGTAAGTAATACTCTGTTTAATAATAAAATGCGATTTCACTGTGAAAAAAAAAAAAATTCTTCGTTAAACAATGATAAAGCTACATACTGTAGATTCCTTTTTTTACGCGAGTACTTAATATCGCGAAATGACCCAAGGACGTCAAATGTCGAGAACAATAATTCGCGAATCGGTGATTTATCTAGAGATTTTACATACATAAAAGCACCATAAAATGAAAGCGAATAATTTTTTTTCGCGAGTGGTGCTTCTCGCATAATTACACGATAATTTTTTCCTCGCGTATATTTAGGAATCTACCGTATATAAGAAGTAAAAACCTGCGCGTGTTATTCTCGATGTTATTGCCGAAAAAAGGCAAATATTTGTTATGCTGTCAGTAAAGAATCAATCAAATCGAATGCAGTGTTGGGAAAATGTAAAATCCAGTCAACTTCAAAATAATATGTTTAACATTTTGTGTTCTTCTTTGTGATACACTGAGCTAAATGCACTGTCTGAAATTTTCTTAACCACGGCAACACAAATGACAGGTGTTTTATAGCTCACCTAAGGGAGTTTTTCTGATCGAAATTTGTCAGTCGTCTGTCGTTGCTGCCGTTTTTGGTGTTGTTGTTGTCGTCGTTGTTATGTATTTGCACATTTTCATCTTCTTCTCAAGAACCACTAATTCAATTTCAACCAAGCTTTACACAGTGTATCCTTGGGTGAAGGCGATTCAAGTTTATTCAAATGAAGGGACAAACCATCTTTCAAGGGGAGATAATAAAAAAAAAAAATGAGAATTTTATGGCGTTATTTTAAACATCTTCTTCTTAGGAACCACTGGAGAAGAAAGAATAAAACGTGTGAAATCTTTATTACATAGTGTAAATTTACGTTTGTTCAAATCATGACCCTCGGGTGTAGGGTGTGGGTACAATGGGCGACCGGAGCTTTACATAAGAGTACATAGGAATCTTTAAAAAAAATTCTACTAAAAATAACAGATCTGTGATTAGTCATATTGATATGGAAGCATCCTCAGGTAACGTTGATTTAAGTTTGTTCAAATCATAACCCCGGGGGAAAGGTAGGACAACAGAGCGAAAAGAACGTCAAGAAAATCTTGAAAAATCTCTTTCTTTAGAACAGCAATGCCATGATTATTCATCCCAATAGGGAAGCATCCTTAAGAAAAGTATATTCAATTTTGTTCAATTCATAATCGCTGGGGATAGGTTGCAGTCAATAAATGCGATCAAAAATTTGACAGAGGATTGCAAAGGATTTTTTTTTAAATCTCAAGAACAAATAGAGTCATGATCAGTCATATTTATATGGAAGCATCTTCAGATATTGTCAATTCTAGTTTAAATGAATCATTCAGTCAACTGAATGGTGACTGAAAAGTCTGGAAAGGTCACTAAATTGCAGAGCCCTGTCATTCAGTCACCTCCAAATAGGCGTTTAGTCACCCTTCTATTCACTGAATGCCAGAGTTTTATCCTCTGTAGGGTTAGGCCACAATGGGCGATCAGATTTACTTAGAAATACATAAGAAAATCTTTAAAGTCTTTTTCACAAGAAAGTAAAGACATGCTTAATCTTACATGTATTTAAATGGATGCATCCTCAGACAGTGTAGATTTAAATTCGTACAAATCATGACACTTAGGGGTAGGGTGGGGTCGCAATTGGTGATCAAAGTTTTAAATAGGAATGCATAGGGAAAATCTTAAAATTTTTCTTCTCAATTATTCATATTACTAGAAAACATCCTCAGGTTTTGTAAATTCAATTTGTTCAAATCGTGACCCCCGGGAATAGGGTTGGGCCACAATCAGTGAGTTTTACATAGGAATATATTGGTGAAAAAATATGCTCATGAAGAAAAGCAGGGCCATATTAATTCAGGTGAACGTGTGGTCCATCGGTTTCTTGTTTTTATTTCTGGCTCTCTTGCAAAAATACAAAGATCATTGAATGCTTTGTAAGCAAGTTTGTATATACAATCTTTCAGATAGCTCTTAGGAAAAAAAACAAAGTGGCTGGAGAATTAGGTCACTTTTTTTAAAAGAAAGAATTAACATGACTGCTGAATGTTTTCTTTAGTGAGTAAAACTGTTTTACATAATATTGAATCATTTTTAATTAAGGTCAGACGATACGTTCCTCAAATATCTGTCTTGTATATCTTTGTATTGTATGGAAAATATTCCAAACTCTAATTACCTTCTGATTTCTAAACTTGTTTCAAATTGTCTTTAAAAAACCGAAACACTAAAAAATGTGATATTGGCAAATTAAGTTCTTTCCAAAAGGATTTTATAGGAAATAACATCCTCTGTATCTTGCACAAATGCCTGGTAAGGTACCTCAATTTTTTTGCGAGTAAACATGTTAAAGTAGCAATACTCCAATGACAAATTCTTAGAAAAAATTATATATTATTGAGGAACGTATCGTCTGTCCTTAAACATGTTTTACTTTTTAGGTACAATGTACAAGTATCATTAAAATCAAAGATTTAACAAACAATTGTAATGGACTATGGTATTAAAACACAAAGTACATATATAATACGATATGTAATACGAAAAAAAAGTTTGAAAAAAAAAACCACCCGGCCATGCGTCGGTTATAAACTCAATTAGGTTGAAGGAAATATTATTTGAACGTTTTCATACATCGAATTGTTTTCAGGAAATGCTACAGTTGTTTCAATCAGTTCACGAGTATTGAATGTATTAAATTTCCGATCATAAATGCAAACAACTACGTAAGTAAATATCATTATTATGTCCACAAAACCAACAACCTCTATAAGAATCAGGACTATATCGTTTGTACTGAAAAGATCCTTTGTCGTGAATATCCCTGTTGTCGGGTTGGTGTGGTTTTCCACTACTGTAGTAATGTTCAAAGATAGTGTTGCTTCCGTTTCTACGGGAAAAAGAGCGCAAACATAGTATTGTTTATCTATAATTGTATATATATTTTTCATTTGAACAAATTGAAACTTGTAATCAAAATAAGCGAAATGTCTTTCTATGAAGAATTAAATATAAGATCTAATGGGAGAAAATCAGCGTTAACAGGTGGAGAAAAATGGTTCCTTTGGTTTGAAAGTATAAAAAGATAGGAGAACGGTACTTGGTCCTTCATCACAAATTGGAGATTAGGTTATACATGTACAACTCATAAAGACGATACATACTACATGTATTTACATTGCCAATATAAAACATCGATCTACCTGTTGATACATCTGGACAACCTCGAGAGATATCACACCATTCTTTCTCACATTTACATTCTTTTTGACATTTTTCTCCATAGTATGGGTATGGGCAGGCTTGTGAACAGTTGATTCCACCATATCCCGCTAAGCATTCTAAAATAATGAAATTCTTTTTTTTACAATGGAGAAAATTAAACTTCTGAGGATAACTCCTTTGAGAGAATTTTGATGAATGTTGTCTCATTATGCCTTAATGTCCATTAAAACTAGTACTTAAACTAAAATAGAAGCATTGCCTGTTAATTAACAGTTAGTCATAGAATATCCTTTATACAACTAAACAGATTGATTTGTTAAAGTAAATGTAATTTCAATTAACTCAAAGATTAATTACTTTTCATTTATAATAAATGGAAATGCAAATTTAAGAGATATTCTCTGTAACCACTTTAAATTCGCAAAGCAAAGTCACCGATTTTGATGGAAATTGTTCCCCCAATCATATATCAAATCAAATTTGGTGCTGTGTGTCTAAGTTGCCATAGTAACAGGCGGAAAAGTTTGAAAACTTGAGATTGTTGGTTACTTTAAATTTTCATTGAGCCCTAAAAAGAGTGAAAACTATAAACAAACTATTCTCTCGAAAATTTGACACCTTGTTGCCACTTATGCTATAAAGAAACTATTCTTAATATATCTTCAAGTAAGTGGTAACCATGCGTACTTTTGAAATACCTTTTAAATGCTAAAAACTGCTGAGAAACGCTCAATATTCATTAATGATAAGGTGTTACATGATCAAACTCTATCAGCAACTCAAGAAATATGTCACGGAGGTGACCAAGCAGTCATGACTTTTATGATTTTCATATTCATATCCAATCGTTGGTATAAATCCGTGATTAATAAACCGTTGTAACTCTTGTAATTCTCAATCCAAAATAAAAAGTCAGTAAATAATGCACTAATTTATTTAAATATATACATTGAGGAGGCACAGTAAAAACGAAAGATGTTACATTTATGCTAGCATATGTACTGTCTAAATCCTAGTAAAGCACTCCCGACTTCTGAACATTTCACACTTACCGTATTATATACGAATCTTAGCTCCAATAGATGATTATCTAAAACATTAGCTCCAATCTATTAATTAACTAACTCCAGCTCTACATATATCTTTATCAAATCCTTATCAAACTGTCCTAACTCTAATTTGACCTTAACTCAATACACGGCTCCCAGTTTTACGAACAATAGCTCCCTTTGCTCCTCTAATTAAAACCTCATTATTTTTGACCACACTAGACATTGCTCTACTCTTAATTACCCTAACAGGGCTTGAATAGTCTGGGCAACGCATCCTTATGTCTGTAAATCTGAACATTTAACCATAAATCACTTCTTTACTTTTAAACCTAAAATTACTACTCATCAAAAACAAATAAAAATATCTGGCCTTAAGTAATTAGATATTGGTAATATTAATCTAAAAATAACTTTCATGGTTGCCATGGTAGCACAGTGTAATCATACAAAGTTTGTTGCTAAATTTTGGATAATGTTATTATCATGAGGAGAAACATAGAAATTCACGAATTGCAAATATACATCGTTAGGACTGTGTTACACAGTTACATGCAACACAAGAAAATTGGAATCAGTTGCTATTTTGCAGTGTAATCATGAAAATAACCTACTAGTGTTTTAAAGGGATATATTTCTGCTGCTTTTGGCATTTAGTTTCCTTTTAAACAAGAAACATATCATTTGACTCATGTGCCTCGAAAAATACGGTACTTATCTGATAGAACTAAAGTTGAATATAAAACCACATGTATTGCTGTTCTTTTGATTGCGATAATTTACTCACCCGAGGAGTACAATATTCACTTCAATTTTGTACTCCGAAGGTGGCTAAATCATCGTATCCTCCCAAAAAGCAATAATTCTTTTATTACATGATTCAATGGTTAAATGTTACGTAAACACACACATTAAGCAATCCATCCCATCTTACTTGTTTACATTTGCTGAAATCCTAGCCAAACATAATCCGAGAAAGGGCTTAGAATAAACATAACCAGTCGCCTTAATGTTGAATTTTTATATCTTTTTATGTGAGAAATAGTAAAAATGTCAGGCACGTATATAGGATCGATTTAAAAAAAAAAGGTGATGGGGACATTATAAGAAGAAGAAATTGACAACTTACAGTGTATCTAAAAAAAATTGTTGACTAGTCCCCAGAAAGAAAAGATTCTGCCAACTGCAAATTTTATTGGGGCTCCTTTTAGGTCCCTTAATACGGGACCAGCCTTTCAATGAACATTTTTATTCTACATCAAAAGTAAAAATGTACGTTAAAAAAGTGTCGGGAGGGGGCAGACCCCCTGCCAACCCTCCTCTCGATCAACCCAGATACTATGTGCTTGAATGTTTTGTCACCTAATTGGAAGTTGGGTGCAAATGAAATACATGTTAATTATTAAAACTATTTGTACCAATCTGGAATTTTCTGATCTATTTTTAGTCCGATGTAGAAAAAAATCTTAATGCTCACCTGGAAGGTCACGCGCAGGTACATTTAATAACGTAGTATTTTTTCTACAATGTTAGATCTCAGTCAATCAGAGAGATAAGAATAATTCAATTATATAATTATATCATATATTGCTTAAATGTGATGAAGAACATAATACTGTTGCTATGGTAACCAAAAAGGAAAATGTTTGATTTTGTTAACTTTATAGCAATATATAACCATATGTTGCGGTTTCTTGCATCTAGTTAGAGGTCTTGTGATAGTCAAAATTGAAAGTCAGGGTAGTTGTTCATAAACATCAATCATAAAAGTTTTGGGAATCTACATACAATGATACATATCCAAGGAAACAAATTTTTTTCAGCATTTTTAGCTCTTCTGAGCCAAAGGCTCAAAGAGCTAATGCTATGGCCATTTGTGCGGTGTGCGTAAACTTTTTAGAATATGGGCCATAACTCAAGAACCCCTCGGCCAATTATTGTCACATTTGTCACAGGGTATCCTTGGCCCAAGGGCTCCCTTTTATACTTAAACTAGGGTTGTGACCCTTAAACAAGGGGAGATAATTAGGAAAATAGAAACAAAAATACTGGTTGCTAAAAATCTTCTTCTCAAGAACCACTGGGCAGATTATCACCAAGCTTACACAAAAGGATGAGGATATGTTATAGATTAAAATTATTCAAGGCAGTACCCTGGGGCAAAGGGCGTGGTCTCAAGGGCACTTCAAAATTGACCAAAAATTACATTTTATTAAAATCTTTGATATTTTGCTTACTATAAGGACTAGGATCATCAAATCTTGTCAGTTGATGCATCTAAGGACCTCATATCATGCTGACTCAAAAGTAGGTCAAGATGACCTACTTTTTAAATTTTGCGGCCATTCTTTTTCAAAATGATATAGAGGTATATTTTGAACAATTTTAGGCCTATGATCATCAAACTTTGTCAGTTGATGCATCTTGGGTCCTTGGAGTAGGATAACTGAACAGTAGGTCATGGTGACCTACTTTTGAAATTTTATGGCTGTATTTCATATTTTCGGGTACTATTTGGTTTAGAATCGTCAAAAATTTGTTAGTTGATGCATCTTGGGTCCAGGAAGTAGGTTGACTGGAAGTAGGTCACCGTGACCTACTTTTGAAAATTTATGGCTTTAATTAAATATTTCTGGTACTAATCGGCTTAGAATCATCAAACTTTGTCAGTTGATGTATCTTGGGTCCTGGGAGTAGTTTGACTGAAAAGTAGGTCACCGTGACCTACTTTTGAAAATTTATGGCTTTAATAAAATATTTCGGGTACTTATGGCTTAGAATCATCAAACTTTGTCAGTTGATGTATCTTGGGTCCTGGGAGTAGTTTGACTGAAAAGTAGGTCACCGTGACCTACTTTTGAAAATTTATGGCTTTAATTAAATATTTCGGGTACTAATTGGCTTAGAATCATCAAACTTAGTTGATGGGTCCTCGGAGAATGACAAGTGATAAGAAGGTCACCATGACCAACTCTCAGGTACTAGTTGGCTTAGAATCATCTTGTGTTCTCAGAGTGTGAACTGGAATTTCAAGGGTTTATCTGAATATACAGGATACTTAGAGGCTTCAAATAGAAGTGATAGGTTGTACAGTTTATCAGAAGAGCGGTTCAAGGCTCGTGGGCCTCTTGTATATATTTTTCCCGATAATTTCCATAGCAACGCCATATTTAAAGAATTCCATTTGAACTTTTTAAAATATGAAAATTATGACCACAACTATGCCTTTTAAAATTGATCACCAATTGTATAGAAAAATGCTTTTTAAAAAGATAAGATCAGATTAAAACATACAAAGGGTTAATTTGAAACCTCTTTGCGGTTTTTAAACCATGGTAACCATTGCCAACCAATAAGAAATATCTCATTTCGTTCTAGTGTATATTACAAGGATCTTTCTCTTTTATTTGGTTGTATTTCAACCTATAATTGCTTTTATTTTTGAGTGTATGACTTTATGAATACGAATGAATAAAATTATTACTTTTGAAAACTTTCCATAGTAACGTATGTAGTAGTTGATTTCCCAAATATGTTTATCATGCATTTTAGACATCAGGCCTTCAACTTTTGTTAATATTTTTGCCACTTTTTTGCATTGTTGTACGACTTTGTGAAATATTGATATTAAACGAGGTTGCTGTTGCCATTGTATTATCAAATTATTTGTCCAGAGCCTACCTCATTTTAAAAATTGTTCTAAAGTAGAACATGCTCTTGCGTATCGAATCAACGTGGAAACATTAACTCCATGTGCTTGTGATAATGGTAGAAGAGAAGTAGATGATAGAAAATTTGAAGTAATCACGTTTAACATAATTACAATTAAGTTGTCTGTTTGCCATTATTGTCTTTCCCCAGTAAAACATCCAAATATGAAGCGTATACGTATGTCAGACACTGTTGTGTGTTTTATTTTGAGTTCAATGAGATACGAGGGGTGATCAAAAAGTTCGCGAACTAATTGAATAACTTCCATAAAAAAAATGAAATTAGGATTTAGTGTTCATTATTTTTTAAAGTAGTCCTCTCCGATTTAAATGCACATCTGCCACCGTTCTGCCCATGCGCGAATCATGTGATACAGACTGTCACGTGACATGCTCCGAAGCGTTCCGTTCACAGGATGTAAAAAATTTTTCCGAGTCTTATATTTCTTACCATGCAAATTATTTTTTATAAGAAGAACGGTCAACTTGTCAAAAATGGCCAAATCTCGGTAATAGGATGGGTGGATAAGGATATCCTTTCCCGGAATGAGCATGTTGACCATCACAACCCTAGTCTTTTGTCTTGGGAACGTCGTTTATCCAATGTGGATATAAGGCATGGCGCCTTCTTTATATCATATCTGATATGATTAAAGTCTAAAGTAAACAATATTTTAGGAATTTAATAACTGTATTATTGTTAAGATATTCAACTATTTTTCTGATTGTAACTTAGCGGTCTTCCATATCAAATTGCTCAACTTAAGACACATCTCTTCACCAGCTTGCTTTCACTGGGCAAGAGGACAAACATCATTTTTAACCATCTCCCTTCTTTCACTAAAACAGTCAATCCAATTAATGATTGAACTCCTGGCAAGTCTTTTGCCTTTTTAAACTTTGTACAAAGTATTATATGCTACTGCCAAGGAATTTCCCAGATACACATTAAACTTTACAGCCGTTCGTTGCTTGAGTACGACGGAGTCAATAATTTTTTGTCACAAGTAACCTACCTAATGACGTCATTTTCACATTGTGACGTCACAAACATGAAGCAAATCATTACATAAAACTGCTATATATAGAACACATGTATGACTATATGTGTGCCAAATTTCATTTTGATTTGAATTGTGGTTTTGAAAATATAGAGATAGAACTTTTTGATCACCCCTCGTATATCGAATCAACGAAGGTATGAAAATGAATATTGTTAATCGAGAAAACATCGTTGATATATCTTAATGTAGAAGTGAAGGTCTAAGCGAAAGAAATCTTTCCATTTCGGCGTTTCTGAATTAGTTTTGCTTCATATGAATACAAAAAACAGGTCTTCTAATAACAGGGTACATTTAGTACCGATGTGTTTTCGAAAGATTGTTGGAAGACCTGATCTCCAAAAATTATATCTGAGATATAGTGAATGAGAAACCTAAACATCTTTTAAATATAACCCTGAGGATAATTGTGTTGGGGTCAGAATGTTCTGTAACAAAATAATTTTGCAGATGACCTTTGACAAGGTATGCAAAGTTACCAGTTCAATTTTTATTGACTAAGCAGTTGTCTTTGATGTCAAAAAGTCTGGTCTTTAATATATCGCGAGGAATGGAAGTGTTGTAAAGTCATACGTTATGATGATGTTTATTTTGGTAAAATTTGATGATTTCACATTTTTAAAAGTTCCCTGGAGTTTTTAAGTATCCACATCTGATTAACAACATTTCTCGAATAAATTATGAAATACTTCTAAGGTCTCTTCTTAGCCAAAGTCGTTTAAATATGAAGCCAGCTTTTTTAGGTACACATACAGAAGTTATTTAATATTTATAATCGAGACACACTTTTCATGAAAGTTGGTCATTCTTGTATAAAATATTTAATTATTCAAATATACGCAATTTTTGAAAGTAACCCTTTGGCGTAAGTAGGCAAAAATAAAGATATCATTAATAAAGAGGTTTATCAGTATTCTTCTTGTATTAATTTACCTAAATTTACCTAAGAGCTTAAGGAAGGATTCTTCTCATATTTCTTTTATTTAAAGATTAATGAAATTTTCATAGATTCAAGAAGACAATATCACTAAGTGATGGTATCAATTAGATTAAATTTGACCGTTTTATTTTCGAAGCAAGATTAGGTCAAGGTCACTATCTTTTTCCTTGACATTAAGAATAAAATCTTACTGATGCCAATCATGTGGGGCCTACTTCTATTTCAAAAGATAAAGTGGTTTTCGTTATGCATTAAAAGATGTTACCTTATAGGGACCATCAGATGATACTATCAAATTGACATAGATAATCTTACTGATAAAGTTATTTGCTAGTTCGAAATTCCTCTATTTTTCTTAAATTTTAAGGGAATAGGATTAATTATTTCATGGATATGCTTCGTACATTGACATTTTTCTTATTTTTACATATAGTAATGTAGTCATATAAAGATGCAAAATGATACAAAAAAAGTTTTGACCGTCTACTTAGAGAGAAAAAAAATACTATTTACTGATTTATTTGCTCAAATCTTGCTTAGATTCGAAACTTTCAAAAGCTAACAAGACTGTAGTTTGTTTGGAAAACCATATATATTTTAATAAGCTTTAGTCAATTAGTATTTATTTTAGTTACAATAAAAATTCTCTAAGTCTTTGAATGTTTAAAAAAAATGAATTGAAATCATTGTTCTGTATTAATTTTCAGAAGCGGAAAAGGAGATATTTTTCATACGCCGTCGTTCCGCCAAAAATATGGTCCCTGGTAGATTTCAATCCTTGTGTACCACTTTCATTTAAAATTTTACAATAATGAGGAGGAAAGAAAAATGTGATCTTTTAAATCCCTTCCATCTAAATATATATAAAACATATAAGCAAATATACTTTGAATATTTCAATTAGTCAGAAACCAGACAAGAATCCCTCCTTAAATAAGAAATACATAGTATGATTGTTATTTTTCGAAAAGAAAAATGTTAAATTCTATTAGAATGCGTACAGGAATTATGTATAAAATATTAAAAAGCTCTAAACAAAGAAGAACTAACATGTCATTTAAACTCTACTTAACACTTCATTAATATGTACTGGGATGCTTTTGTTAGCTTAGTCTCTCATTACTCATTCACTTTATACTTACCTTTGCATGTTTGACTTTCAACATTCCAGTAGTAATCCGGACAGCAATCTTTGAAGTATCTATGTCAAAGTATTTTATACTATTGAAATTCATGTTTTTTTTATGTATCAGAGAAAATAAATGGTATTTTGTTGAACAGAATACATATAACTTAGAGAAATGGCTTTATCACTATCGTAAATCTTAATAAATTAATTAAATTTGTAAATCAAAAATATGCACTTCGTTGAATTAAAGGCATGAATCAAAAGAAGCAGTATGGAAGCTATAGGTTCCAGGTGAAATCAAATAGTATGGTGACTGCAACATATATTTTTTTCTCAATTGGAACCCAAGAGCTTCCGTTAAATTGCCTACTTGTTAAATACTCACTCACTACAGTTCGGTGTGGTTGAACACTTTGGAGGAAAAAAAGTGACTGCAGACATTAATGAAATAAAGGTACACGATGAATAATCCATCAGAAGTGCAAATATACATATTCTATCATGGTATGTGAATGTTGGTATCACTAAACTGAATAATTTGTGTATTTATGTTATCGATTTAGCTTTTCTTCCTTCATCCGGTAATTGAGAGAAAAACTTGAAAACAAAGTTATAGATATTCAGTTTAGTGCTTAATATTTTCGAAATAAGCCGTTACATCTCCATCTGTAAATACTGGATGAAAACTTCCTTAGGGAAGATGGTTATTTATAGAAAAAACTGATTTTTTTTCTTAAAAATGTAAATTAGAGATTCATTAATTTTATTTCAATGATACTTTTACAGTAAAAATCTGAACAGAAATCATCATTTCCTTTTGCCATATAAGATAGTATAAAATTCGTACAAGCTTCACGCTGTATACGTAAAAACAAGAGTGGTTAAAAAGGCAAATAAGTGATGAACGTTATATGCTATAAAGATACACATGCTTACATACACACATTACACAAATGAAAAGAAACAATAATTATGTATTATATTTGATTTTACCTTTTTTTTATTAAATGGCAAAACTATGACAAAAAGGAAATACACCCTTTTTAGTGTACTGTTTTACAACACACTAACTGTCATTTAACATACCATTTTTGTAAATACATGATTTGTATTTAAAACACACATTGAGAAGAATGAAACGTTTTGGCACTTCCTAGCATTATCTAGATTGATATGTACTTGGTTGACAATCTCTAAGTGTTGAACATGTCATGTGAAATTTATATAAAACTTGAAGACTTGAAGAAGGGTCAATTAACCTTAATTATTGGAACACTTCAAAGGTACGTTTCCGTATAAAATTAGTGTAACAATCATAGAAGTACGAGATTATTTCATTATGTGACTTTGTAGAACAAGGAAGTTAAACTTTGTTCAATATACTAGGAAGTTTTTAAAACGCATTGAAACTTTAAATTGTTGAAAATTTGAATCTTAAATTGTACTCATAAAAGACAGGAAAAATCTTTTAGAAAATTTTCAAAAAAGAGTAAATTAGAGGTGAAAGAATTTTTTTTTTCTTAAAAATGTCAATATGCCATAAAAATTGTATAAGAGCGTACAAATTGTAATCATCCAAATTTTAAATGTAATTTTTTCTAAGGTTTCGATAAAATTTGAGAAAATATTGATGTTAATTAAAATTGAAATTTTTGATGTACATTAAGGTGGAAAATCATGCGCTAAACAAAAATAATGAAATCACATTCACAAAGTATCAGTTCATGTTCATTTATATCAGCTTGGTTCAATTTCAAACTGACATAATTGTGTTTTTTTTCCTACTGAATTTAAAAAAAAAACAATGCGTAGTGTCTTCTGGATAAAAATGACTGCGTGACAGGCGATCAGTTTCATTGAATTGTATATTGCAGCTGTTACACCTGTACTTCATTAACAAGGTTTTGTTACATGTTATACCGCAAAAAATGTTACAAGCACATTGTTATTTTGATATCCACTTGAGGGATGAAGACGTGTTTGTATCCATATGTAAATTTTCCTTTCATATATAAGTGGACATTTATGAAAAGCTATGGGACGTCGATGAACAAGAATAAAAATAATCCATACCACTTGTTAAAGTGAGGAAAAATAAATGTAATAGGGAACTAAGGTTGTTGATGTTTTTCAAAAACATTCAATTGTGTCATACATTTGAATATTGTAATACCTAAAAAGATAATTCCTAGTTAGTAATATTATAGATTCATTTTATTATATTTCCGACAATGAACATAAGGGCATTGCACTTACATTGACCATTACACATTTACGAAATCAGGCACCAGATAAGAAAATATTTAGATAGAAAACAAACGGAAAAGCACTTCAACAAAGACGACCTTGACCGCTGAATGACGAAATATTAACTATTTAAGGAATTTAAAAAAAAAACTTAAAACTTACCTTTATGACAATCTAAATGATTTCGGCTTTCCCATCGACAACTTCTTATATATTCAGTTATGCGGTAATATTCAATATTACCTGATATGGTGCCAAGAGATTTCTTATCAGATTTTGGTATAGAAAAGGATCGTTTGGTAATGATCGATATTTAAACTGTTGAAGGCTACTGACAAATAAGCTAATGTTATGGTGGGATAGAAAACCTTTTTTAAGTCATAATTTCGCAAATTGTATGGTTGTCGTATAGAATTGTTTGCAAATACAGCCTTACAATCAGGACATACCAGGGTATTTGTTTTTAACTATACTGGTCATAGACAAGAAGAGCTTCTGTGATTGTAAGATGTCCGTCGTCCGTCTGTCTAGCTGTCCGTCAGTCTGAAATCAATTTTTCAAAATGCTACTCCTCCTAAAGTTTTGGTTTGATTTTAATATATAAATTTGCAGACAAATAGACTTCTCTACATTACAGACCCTGAAACGTGCTACTACCCCAAAAAAGCGTGTGACTTTCGTGCGCTTTTCGTTTCGTGCAAACCGTGTAGCGTTTCGTGTAAACCGTGCAGCGTTTCGTGCAAACCGTGTAGCGTTTCGTGTAAACCGTGCAGCGTTTCGTGTAAGCTCCAAAGCGTTTCGTGCAAACCGTGTAGCGAGCGTGCGAGAAGCGTGTGAGAAACGTGTGACTTTTGATTAAGAACCGTGTGAGAAACGTGTAGGATTCATTCGGAAGTCATTTTATTTTATTTTATTTTAAATATGGCTATTGATGGATTAACATGTCATTCTGTGTTGTTTGTGACTAATATTATTCGGATATATCATACCGGTGGTATTTTAAGAAAAAAAAAATACGGAAACAACAAAATAAAATTACTCGGTAATGTTTTACATAATTGTTTTTTTTTCTTTTTTTATTTAAATAAAGATGGAAAGAAAATGTGTTAAAAGTAATTAGTTATATGCACATCAATGTTAATGCATTTGATTCAATACTGGTCTTGTCCTTTTCATTCATTTATTAGAATCTCTTCATCATTTTATAATTATGGCATATACATGTAGAAATTATAAGAACATATGGGTGATTAATACAAAATAATAGATAGATACGGCAGGCGTGAAAAATAAAACACAAAATTTAGTGCGTTGCTATAAATGTGGAGTATGGGAATTCTAGGCCGGGGAACACAATTATTTTTTTTTCTTTATAAACGAACAAAATTTTCTTATATTACAAGATTGTGATACAAATAATTTTGAAACGATGAGTCATTTATAGTCTTTTTATGCATAGCATCGGTTGATTAATAATTGTCATATAAAAGAATCATAAATCACATGCATCGGGAAATATAGGGTTAAATATTTCCGGGGGGGGGGGGGTGTTCAATGAAAACACAAACTTAGAGTTTTTGTTAACACGTTTTTAAGGTCTTCCGTTTCCAACGGAAGACCTTCTACTGATTGTGATGATTAAGATTATTCTTATTATTCTTTTTTTTTTCTTTCCTAGACGCCAACTTTGACGCTTCATATCTTCCTCATTTTTAAACAGATTTTGTTCAAATTTTCAGAACTTTTAGACTTTACAAAACACTGTCAGAATACCGTAATACAATTCGGAAATTACCTTCTGTTCACGAGTTATTCCCCTTTGATTGAATTTTGCATGCCTCCGATTTCCAGACAAAGGCTCAGAAATGGTTATAATTGGAGCACAAAACCATTTGAAATTGAAAAGAGGAAGCATTGAAGTTGTGCACATCGGTTTTTGTTTTTTGATTTTTGCATTAAAAATGGCGCTAGAGAGGGGTCAAAAGTTAGAACGCGGAAAACAGCAAAAAATTTGACATATTTTCCTTTATATCTTGAAAACTAGAAATATTTTGTTAAGACATGTAGAAGAAAAGTTGTGCATAATTGCAAGGGCTTTCATATTATACTATTTAAAAGGGGCTGGCCCCTATGATTAGGGATCTTGGGCCCTTAAAAGTTTTTGCTTTATAACTCAAAAACGGTAAATATTTCGATCTGGATCTTGGGAACAAAATTGTTCTTTTACACCTTTTTGATCTAATGAAAATGTTGTTTTGTTCGAGTATACCATGGGTATTGCGTAATACGTATTAGAAAGCAGGCCAGGTAAACAGGTAACGTTTTTCATTCGGCAAGGAAATCAGACCTCTTCATGTGTATAACTTAAACAGACTTGCTATCAATAATATACCCTGCTGTATTTAATGTTAATTTTCTTTTTAATTAGGTTTAAAACGTGGTTTATGGTTCATTATTAAATTATTTATTACAACTAGTCTTTCTTTTCTTCTTTTTTAAATTAGGGTAATAGTGTTCAAAAGCGGAGAATATTAAATCTATCTTTCTACGTTTATTATTACAACAAACTTTGTAAGTGATTTTAAACTGTATGCATTGAATAATTCACGATCATTAGCTGTATGCATATTACGGTCTCCATGTTCAGCTCGATGTTTAGTTATGTAACCCAACGCGCGAATCCCACGCTGTTGATCGAGGTCACCAGTGTACTAGCCACCTGTGGCCATAAACAAAGCTAGTATTTGTGATCGCGTATAATGTCAATTTTGTACAAAGAGCTATTAATTAATGGAAAGTTATGTTTTTAATTATATCGAATCAGTAAGATTACTTTACCAGACCGATCTTTTGTAATCTTAATTCCAAACACTGGTGCATAAAAATCATTTTGAATTTTAATCGCTGTTTTTGTCTGTTCACGCAACAATACATTTAAAAAAAAGTATTGCTCTATCCCGTGTTGTTGTATTTTAATTCATCTGCAATTGTAATTGAATGGGGGCTTCGGTAAATAATTGTAATTACTACGCATGCCACGCACATATCATTTTTACCATCACTCTTGTGAATGTCCATTTATTATTTATAGAATTAAATAAACATTAACATAAATAAAAATTCCTTCAAATATACATGTACTATAATTCAAGTCTTTGTAATATAGCAAACAGTTTCATCCATCTCTGCCGCTTTGTGTCTTTAAT